GGGGGGGGGGGGGATGTCAAGTCTAACTAATCACAGATTGAGAAAGTTACCAGACCAAAACTTTCCCACAGTGTCTAAAAAGAGATCGTCCTCAGCTCCACGAGAAGTCACTTATATAAAAATCTTCCTTTTTAAAAGCAAAAGGTAAGAAATAGATGAAAATAGTCTCCTAAAAGTGTAGAAAAATTCCTGCAAAACATTAAAACTTCCAGATTGCATGCTCGTATTAACAGTCCTTCAAATCCAGTAAAAACACACGTTAGAAGTCCCAAAAATCATGAGAAACCAACCAAGAGAAGAAATATTTCTGTACTGGGGATAGCCTCTTTAAATTCTTTACATAACGTACAGTAAAAGTGATTTTAGAAGGGGTAGCCAGAAGTATTGTCCCTTTAAGAAGGCTTTAGACGCAGCTTCGACAAGTTGTTCCATCTGCTTCCCAGCTGATTGCTCACTGTTCGGTCGAGTTACAGCTGTCCGGAAGACACGAGGTGCAATTCAGTGGCTTCTCCTTGCCCGGAGAATGCCTTTGTGTCCCGGAATGAGTACCGAGACACGTAAATTACCATGCTAAAGTCCCAGTTTAGGCCAGAACTAGCCTTCCGCCATTGCTCCTCCACCGGAAGTCCCAGGACTTCCCCAAGTATTCTGATGAGCAGGCTTTGTAAAGATGATAAAACTAATTGGCAAAACCATCACATGACTCAATCACACATACACACACTCTTTGAGAAGTTGAGTTTGATCATTTTATAATGCTGTATCTAGGAGCAAATTTCTCATTAGTCTTCTTATAATAGTTGGAATGCAACACTTCTTACAAATGTTTTCAAAAGCCAGCAGCTTTCAAAACAATATGTAAAAAGCATAATCAGTGGGATAGTTATGTATGCACATGAGTGTGGCAGGTTGACTAAATTAGTCTATAGCACATCTATTAAAAATCTGACTACATACTAATAGCTCTGGTAGCGTTGCAAGTGGGATTTATTTTTAGAGTCAAAAGTGAATATCATTTGTTTAATATATGTTTAACTAATAAATATAACCAACTTGCAATGAATGCGTGCATGAGTGAAACTTCTGGTAAGTGAAGTTGCAAAACAATGAGGTATGTTAACTTTGTGCTCTTGTGGAGAAAAAAACATTGCAGATTGATTCTCAGTTTGAGAAATGAATAATATAAACTGTTGTAAAAGCATTGTTTGACTCCCTTGGTATTCAGTCCCAGGACTGAAACGGATATGATAGCAGCCACAGATAAACTGCTTGCCTGTGTAAGTGTTCTACATATGTTCAGTCACTCTAAATGCATTTATCATGTGAGTTAGTCCATTTTCTTATAGAGACAGCAGGCCAGTGATCTAATCTAAGTGCTGTGCAACTCAACACCCAGATGATTGGGCTGACTCATATGGAAAATGCCTCTATTAGCCATCATATAGTAAATGCATCTGTATAGAGTCAGATTTGTGCACACTTGAACTGATGATTTAAAGTATTTTAGGGGTGAATGAACCTTAATCTAAAAATGAAAGAGGCATTGTAAGGAAAGCCTACTTCTTACAGGTTTATATTTCCCTTAAAGACTGGTTAGGAAGTGTGGGATTTATCACTAGTCAGGGGTGTTTTTTCACCAACTGAGGGTCAAAATTGGTAAACCAATGTATCTTAAACGAGCAGCTTTTTATTTTAAATAAGCATGTGCTAGTGACATCCAAGCAGGATTAATGCAATGCAGTGTTCTTATGTAGGGCCACAGAGTATTGGTAGAAGCCACTAAATTGATCATGTAAGCTGTGTTGTGCCCCAGTTGCATCCTTGCCAGTTTGTTTCACAAAAGGTGTTTTTATGCTTCACACCCTTAAATTACTTGTTACTCCACTAGTTGAAGGATAGCCTTCAGTCATATCAATTGCCCTGACTTTATGATCAGCTGTGAAGGTCTGGTAGCCACCATTGAGAGTAGCTAGATTGATGAGTATGAAACAAAGGGATTTCTTGGTAATGCTACCTCATCTGTGGGAGATATTTCCATCTTGGAGTTGGTCAAGTCCTATTAGGATTTGAAAGGGCATTAGAAAAGGCTTAAAAAGTAATCTGTTCTATAAGTTTTTAAAATAGTATTTTCTTAAACTGCTGTTGGTCTTGATTGTATTTATTTATTAGTCTTTTGTACTTTTCTGGGATGGATATCAGTAATATATTGACGTTTTGTATTTTATTTTGAAAACTGCCCTTAGAAATGAACTACAGGTTTTTAAATAAATGGGAAGGCTTTATTGGCTGCTCTCATATTACTTTTCAGCCTATATATTGTGATTTATGCTGCAATACTGGGGTACCATGAGGAAAGAGAGAAAGCTCTAATTTCTGAGGGAGAAATTTGACATTGGATCCTACTCCTACAACCTCCTCTCCGTAATGTCAGAACTCAGGAGACCAAAAAAAAAAAAAAAGGAAAATTGGGGATATGACATAGGTACGTTGGAGATACTATTATTTCTGAAGGATTCAAAATCCTGCCTGCCTGCATCATGTCCCTGAGTCTGACCCCTTACTTAGTCTAAGTATTGCCCTCCCCATCATGCATGCAACATGAGAAAAAATAATGAAAACCAACCTTTGGGAGGAGCACCTCCTTAAATTCTAAATTATGTATCAATCTGTTACTAGACTGCAGTAGTTTGAAGCTCTGGATTAGAGCACTCTGACAGGATAGGTTGTATTCTGTTATGGAGAAAAGAATAGCAGTAAATAGTAGTAGTTAGGCAAATTGTGGATATTAAATAGTATTGTAAAAACTATAATTTTTTTCTATTTTTAGAGTTACTTTCATATATTAAGGTTTTGAAAGTGTTTTTAAATTGCTTTGGATCTTCTGTGATAATGTTAACAAATTGTACTTTGGATAATCTTTGAGAACTGGTTTTCCTTGAAGCAAGCTAGTTCCTAGGGCTGTTTTACGCTGATAACAACAACAACATAAATCTATATTTACTGGAATTAGGAGTATTTGGAGCCTGCGTGCCTTATTTCATTATATGTCCTACATTACTAGAAGAGATTTTGATGCTTACATTTGGTGATACTAGTCTGAAAATCATTCCAAACTAAAGTACAGTGTACCCTACGAGAAAGTACATCCTGGGAATTAGATCCAAGAAACCTTCCCTATTTCAGTGGAGAAGAAACACATATTTGAACTGTTGCTATATGGGAAAGTTTGGAACATGCTTAAGCCATAGATACTTTTTAAAGTGCTTGTGGCTTATAACTGGATTGTCTGATTCTTCAAATTAGTTTGGAAGGATAGATGGTTGTTGCTTTCTCATGGTACCAGAGTTAAAGGTGTGATCCCAACCCCCTTTCCTGAGGATGGACAGGTCAAACAGCTCTTCTGGGCTCATCTTGAAGTACAGTTTAATGGACATTTTCAAACTTGACCAGAACAAGTAATAACCTATTAATATTACATTTATTATATATGCATTCATTTATAAAGATTTTTTTTTCTTTACAAAACTGTTACTGCTCAACAGATACTTAATTTTAGTCACTTGTTTCTGAAATACTTGGCATTCTCAAAAATGTAAAAGCTAATTCTTGGTCTGAATACTTCATTAGCAATAAAATCATCTTTTTGTTCAAAGCCTAAAATGCTTTCTGAATGAATTTTGCTTCCCATTAATTTGAGCTTTAAGAAACAGAATAAAGGAGTACAAATAAGAGTGTTTCAAGTAACTCATAATTACATGTTAAAAATGTGTTATAGCTCATATAGGGTGCTCCTTATTCAAGACTGAAACTAAAGATAAATTCACCTTTATTAGCTGTTGAAATAAGCTGGGTGTGATTGTGCAAATCAGCAAAAAATGGAAATAGCTTGAAGAGGATTTGTGGGAATGCACTGAGGGAATGCTTTCACCTTATTCTAGCCTAAGAATCATATGATGAATATGGGGTAGGATTTCAGTTACATGTAATTATTGCAGTTTGTATATCATTCGTATGAATATGCTAGATATTTTTTATTCGCTCTGTAATATTTTATTTTAGAACAGATGATTATACAGTAGATAGTATAATATCCCATATTATATGGTAAGTATAAATTCTTATCATATGGGTAAAAATATTTTATTTCTGGAAATCTAACAAAAGATGCACAGTACAGGTAGACTTCGCGCACCAACTGTCTCATTCAATGACTGTTTGAAGTTACGATGGTGCTGAAAAAATGACTGTATGACCAGTCCCCACATTTATGACCTTTGCAGTGTTCCTCAGACACATGATCACATTACAGTCAGTACATGTTGTCCTGTGCCTGTTTTTCTTTTTTCCCTCCTTGCAGAACAGAAAGATTAGAGAAGAAGGGATTACAAGAGAGTAAGCAGGCACACAGTGGGGAATATGCATCTAAAAGAATGTAGTGGTGCTGGGAGCCCGGAGCACACTATGCAAACAGCCCATTGTGTGGCTGCTTACTCTCTTGTAATCCCTTCCTCTTGTTACAGACGCTGCTCCCAGGTT